TTGTTCTCTGTCTTATAATTTTAACACATATATGTATAGAAGCTTCAGATTGTTGGGTGAGGATTTATGATTCAATCAATCTGGGTTTCTTATTTTAGAAGCCTCTTTTAGATGTGAAAAAAGTGTCTCTGTGATGTGATTTGTTTTTAAGACAACATACTTAAAAGTAAATTAAAATGAAAAATGTTCTAAACAGCTTAAGAACTATCTTTAATACTGTCTCTATCATTATCTCTCCAAAGGTCTTCAGTGCACTTCAATGCTGCCAACATCAGTTAGAGATAATAAATATAACTGTCACGGGCATTTCATGTACACATTCAGCTGAGCAGTTAGCACTCTAAGCACTTCAGTCAGCTCAAACTGACTTCTTCAAAATGAATGAAATGTGTTGTTGCTCCCTGAGGGAGATATAAACACTTCTCTACCAGTAACATTTGTAGGCGGAATCATTTTATTTAAACTTTCAGCTGTTTCCTCAGGCAAATACAGTATTTTTTGACAATAGAAAAGCTCTGGCCCAGCTGCTGTGCAGTAAAGATCAATCTCACATATGAAAGCTGGTTTTGAAGGTTTTGAATTGTTAGTTTGACATTTACCTGATGCCCCAGGTGAAGTGCTGAAACTCAGTAGCCCCTCACCATCATTGCAAGTGAGAAACTTAATTTATGAAACTGTTCCCAGTCCTAACAGGATCACTGCAGAGGAGCCTACATGTCTACATCTTCAATGTTTACTCATAAAGTGTCGTTTTTATTCTCTAAAATATGCTTTCTTTTTTATTCAAGCTCTGTTCTATCTATTTATTAAGCCCCTGTAACACCTTAATGATTTAGACTGACGTACGGAAAATCTTGCAAAAACACTGGTATACATTGGAAAAGTTATGGGTACGTTTGTATATGTTATGAGCACGCTGAAACACCCTGACATATGACGAAATACGACGAGTATATGCCAGCTAATGGCATAAATATCTGGGGCTTAAGTTACAGGTAAGTTATCTGATCGTTTACATATTTTAAGTGTAAGTTACTCATAAATCGTGGCATCCAGCTTATCCAAAACCTATGAGTAAATTCCCCTCTAGACTGCATCCCCATCATAGGGAGATGCATCCTCCCTGCGTTCACACCCACGGCAAACGACCAACAAACTTCCTAGCAGACACCACACTGAATCTGCTGCAACTGCAAACATTTTTTATTTTTTTATTTATTCTTTTTTGGGGGGGGGGGCTGTAAACAGCAGCTAGGTTAATACTGGGATCAAATAAATCTTTTTATGCAGGCCAGGCGCCTCCGGGCGTATCTCTGCTCCCCTCAGGAGTAGCGATGCGCCTGAGGAGAAAATCTTTAATTGATGCTTCATAGTGCCATGCTAACACTGCCGTCCGGTATGCATAAGTTAGACTGTTGTTGGACATACGCTCTGGACTTGTTATGAATTCGCTATGTATACACCCAAAATTGAAAAAATACATAGAAAGTTCAGTGTATGCCAGTGTTTTAGCCTATTCTGGGACGTCAGGCATACCCTGTCTAAATTGGCAAGTTGTGACGGGGCGTTAGATACTTATTCAGACAAGGCAAGTTTATTTTTAAAGCACAATTCAACACTGCAAATTTCAAGTGCTTTCAGGATCAGATTGGTTTGTTTTTTGTTTTTAATGACTGGGTGTAAAATCTTTTTTTTTATTTTAAGGCACCCAATTTTTAAGTTCCAACAAAATTTCCAGTCACACTTGAGGAGGGGAAACCCCGTGAGCTTAGGATTATAGTGCCATATTCATTGGAAGATCTGCGAAAAGCTAATTAGAACCCAAGCTGTAGGGGAGTCATAAAGATGGATTTGCCTTGGCTCAGCTGGACGAATTTTATATGCACATTATTGCACCTTAATTGGATAATACACTGTTTTCACCTTATATGGGGCTTTCAGATGGAGACAGAACAACATGGATGACTTTTATATAAGTAAACTATGGGATGTTTCCTACTATAATAACTTTAAAACTGTATGGGCTTTACAGCAAACTGTATTTCATGTTTTGAATGTCCTTTAACTCAACGGTTCCCAAAGTGGAGTTCAGGACCCCCAAGGGTCAGGAAACATCAAGGTTGTGGCAAGATGATTTCCACAATCTCTGAGGTATATGGAGGGCCAAAATACATCATGAAATAAATACATAAATGTAAATGGAAATTTAAAAAAATGTGTAATATAGTGATATAGTAAATATACTGTTAAATGTTTAAAACGTACAATTAAATGTTCTTTTAACTTATTAAAAATGCATTTTAAATTATGAATTCAATCTTATTTCAGAAATGAATGTATTGAAAATTAATAAAGCCACAAAACTACATAACTGTATATAACTATACAGTAATATAATGTACTGTTATTTTCAGTGTCACAGGGTGAAAGGTTTGGTAACCTCTGCTTTCAATCTCTCTACTGAATATTCACAGAAAATTTCACTAAGTTCCAATATCCATCCATCCATCCTTTCTTTATGTTAAAGGTAATGCTGAAGGTTCTTGTCCAGGGAATATTTAGTGACTCTGGGTTTCTGAAGCAGGGTAGCACTTATGACACACGTGGTGGAGGGTAAGCAGGGTTCAGTCTGAGTTTGGCACGCAAGGAGTAAACTTCCAGGAAGCTACCAGCAAGGAGCCTCCGAGGGAAACAATGACTCTAAGAACTTGGTGCAAAGTAGTAAACTGAACAGCTCAGGAGAAGAGCAACTTGGAACAAACCTAGGATGCCAGGACAGAGAAAATAATTAGCATCTTATAGGTAGTGATGTTAGGCTCGAATCAGAAATGTCACTGAGAAGTGTTTCGAGCGCACCAAAGAAATTTTATATTTAAGTCTTGTTTAGAATTGTTTTAGAGTAGTTCACTTCATGCACATAGATCTAAAATGGAGACCCACACACATATATACCCACCACAGTCATCCACTGATTAATTCATAACAGATATTTATTCACACAGCACATCTAAATAGTTATTCATGCTTCTCCTTTAATACAAACATTGTCATTTGTAAGAACCACAGGAGGAACGTCGAAAACCTGTGGGAACTACTGGTCAGCAGAGTTAATTTGAATCATTTAAACTATCAGTACTATTTAAAGGATCATTTGTTGATGTGTTTATAAAGTTGTAGGTGCAGCCCACTGAAATATTAGGCCGCCTGGGCCGAGAAGTGTTGTAATTAACATAAATTAGCAAAAAGAAATACAGCTATGCAATAGAGGAAGCGGGTGGGAGTTGATCCCAGAGTCTGTCAAGTGCGAGGCATGCATGTTAACCCGTCAGAGAAACAGATGGATCTAAAGCTTGAAAACCAGGATGGATTAGAATTCGGAGCCATAGCCACAGGAACACACAGTGATAAAGCTGTTATGAATCAGAAAGGTTGTTTATGGTATTGCAATTTCACAGGTCAGTTTTTTCCATACTATTGTTGTGGAACAAACAAGTTCAACCTTGAAATAATGCGCACATAAGGATACCTGCTCAATTTTGGTTATTATAGCTATTCATCAGATTCTAAACCATTCTAAACAGTATTAAATGTATCGAGCATGGTGTCGAGTTTTGGCCAATTATGTCAAATTGGTTCATAGGGCCTTGAAATTGCCACCACTACTTACGGCATCCCCAAAGTCGGTCCTCGAGGGCTGCTGTCCTGCAGGTTTTAGAGGTTTCTCTGCTTTAGCACAGCTGATTCTGATGATTGCAGTTCAGCAAAAGCCTGTTAATCAGCTATCAATGAAAATCAGCTGTGCTGGAGCAGGGAAACCTCTAAAACCTGTAGGACAGCGGCCGTCGAGCACCGACTTTGGGGATGCCTGACTTACAGGGAAACACAGGAGACTAGAGGTAGGCTAGAGTCCTACCACATGGGTTAATACTGTGACAATGAAGTGCAGGCAATGAGCTCCTTATAAGCCTCTCTCTTGATGAACGGTGATGTAAAACACCTGCGCTCTTCCATTAATCTGCTCCCAGATGTCATATGTAGGAAAGAGTGTGGAAAATTGGCCCCAAGAGGGAGCCTCATGCCAGGATCCCAACACAATCTTAATAATTATTTCTTAGTTTGAAAACGTTCCCCTGCCAGTAGTATATAAGATGTTTTCAGCTTGTTTTGTGCTTGTTTTAACCCGATTAAATCATTGGATGATAGACCACGAAATGATGAATAAATATTATTCTTGAATACATGTAATTACTTTAATTGCTCCTATGAATAAATCTAAATTCTGAGAAATAAACCCATTCCTTTTTGCTTCTGTTTGATTACTCAGTAGATTTGTGTTATTTTGATATATGATAGAGTTGTAAAACATTATAAGACTCAGTATTTATTTACATTAGAACAGTTTAAAAGAATCATTAAATGCTACTCATATTCAAGATTATTATGGGGACAGACAGTTCATTTAAATGCTCTCCTTTTAATGTGTTGATCTGAACAGTTAAGCTGTTGCTGCTGCTACAGGACGTTGTACCATCTAGCTTGCATAAATTTCAAACCACTGTGTGGCAGCTCTGTCTATTTTGGTACCACCCAGACAGGCTTGGAATATTACCGTGGTCTTGATCACACATCTTTTGGGACTTCTACAAAGTTTAAGGATTTTCTTGGACTTAGGCCTCTTTCTATTGCCTTTCTTCCATCCAATCCTTAAATCGTATCCAATGCAAGAGAAGTGACTTTAAAATGAATGGGAAGAAATGGAGGTTCTTGCAGGTGAAATTATTTGCTTTAACAAGCAAAACACATTTAAACAGATAATCCATTGAAAAAATCAATAAAGCAGCCAGAAAAACAGGAAATGGAGAATTATTGATCAAGAACATTTAAGATGACAAGAAAACCTGTCTTTATGGAAAATATGTATAAATAAGGGATTAGATAAAAATTTGCAATACTTGTTTGATAAAATTGTAATTTTTTCTTGTCTTCTTTTTTTTTCATAGGAAATGCCTTTGTGGTTAGCTTGGCCTTTGCTGACTTGGTGGTCGCCATCTATCCTTATCCACTGGTCCTGACAGCCATCTTCCATAACGGCTGGATTGCAGGTTATATCCACTGCCAGATCAGTGGCTTCCTCATGGGCCTCAGTGTCATTGGCTCCATCTTTAACATCACAGGCATCGCAATCAACAGATACTGCTACATCTGCCACAACCTCAAATATGACAAGCTTTTCTCCAGTAGCAACACTATGTGCTACGTTATGCTTGTCTGGACGCTGACAATCATAGCCATTGTGCCCAATTGGTTTGTGGAATCGCTGCAGTATGACCCAAGGGTGTACTCCTGTACGTTTGCGCAGTCAGTTAGCTCGCTGTACACCATTACAGTTGTGGTGGTGCACTTCATTCTGCCAATGAGTATCGTCACCTATTGCTATCTGCGCATCTGGATTTTGGTGATTCAAGTCAGACGGAGGGTAAAGCCGGACTCACGACCCAAAATAAAGCCCCATGACCTTCGGAACTTTCTCACCATGTTCGTGGTGTTCGTGCTGTTTGCTGTCTGCTGGGCACCACTGAACCTGATTGGCCTGGTGGTGGCGCTGGACTCCAGGTTAAGCCGGGCCATACCAGAGTGGCTGTTCACAGCCAGCTACTTCATGGCGTATTTCAACAGCTGCCTCAATGCCGTCATCTACGGTGTCTTGAACCACAACTTCAGAAAGGAGTATAAGAGGATTGTCCTGATTATCTTTAAGTTTCACTGCTGAGATGAAATGGCGAAACCAGACACAATGAACAGTGTTCTTTGTTTTGTTTTTTTAACATTACTCCCAAGAGAAAAGTTTTAAAAGCCATGAGGTAAACATATAAAATGATATAAGAAAAGCAGACTAATAAAAACAACACTGTGAAACGAAGAAGAAACAACATGCAGTATGAAATTTAAAAACTGTGGAACTTCAATCGTTGGATAAAGATGAACTAAAATAAATTATACCATAGTAAGAACTATCAAAGCTGCCTTCAAGGAAACTGAGACTTTTCTTAAAAAATGTAACCAGAGATCAGATGTAACTCTTAGTAATTGTCTCCCTATGACTGTCTTTGGAAGAATGCTAAAAGCTCAATACATATAGTTGAAAGTTGTTGACTACTCATGTTTTTACCCAGCATACAATTCATTTAAATGTTGAAATGTGAAAATATTGCCCATCTTCCTCTGCCTGATTCATTTTGATGTAGAACATGCTGCTGAACTTCTTTGAAACTGTGACCTTTTTTAAATGATTTTCTGAATGAAAGGAGGTAAATGCCAAAATAGGAGAAAAAAAAAGTAATTTATGTCATCAAGATTCTATTTTCTCAGCATAGTCTGAAATTATTTGCAAATAAAGGTACTTTAAAGGGACAGTGTGTAAGATTTCCGTCCATCTAGGGATAAAGGCCAAGAATCATCACTCGGGTCAAATCAGTTCAAATAAGCAATGAACACATGGAACATTTCTCTGACAACAAGGCAGAGAGGGAGACTAACTACTGAACTACACTTCCTTGTTTTTAACATAACGCTGAAATAAAATTCACTTTTCACATACCCAGCATATAGCCTGCGACATCTGTGTCCATTTTAAAGCAACCACTCCCTCATAAATTGTCCCAACCAAATAAAAGCTGCACCAATGTAGACTTTTTTGTTTTCTTCTGGTTATTACTTTGTTTCTTTTTTTGGTTTGTTTCTCTTCCCTATCACTGCACAAAGAGTTACTGATGGCCGTCAATTGCTTCAGATCTGAAAGGTAGAATGACCTAGGGTTATTTTGGCTTGTTTTACAGTCCTCCACCACCGAGAACACATTTTATATACAGGTAAAATGAGTAAAGTTGACAACTTTGTTCCATTTTTTCTCCTCTGATCAAAAATGGCAGCCTAACCAAGCTTCTATCATTTAGCGCACCACCCCCTATACTGTATATTTATAAATTCCTTTTCCAAAGTGTGTGAACCCTTTCTATATTGGATGTGATGTTAAAAGTCTTTCACAAAAAACAAATTCATTTTACACTACTTGATTTTTACTTATAAAAAGGTACATTTTTTACTCACTGTCCCTTTAACACTATTATATGTTGTTGAGGTGTAGAGACAGATAAACAAAATAGCAAGGCTTAAAAGGACTTTAATTTAAATAGACTTACTAACCATCATTTGTAGATATTATAGGAAATAGAGCTTATTTAAACCGTTTTAGATTTTCTAAGGCTCCAGAACATCAGAACCATTTCTCATTAGCAACTTTACTTAAAATATGAATTATAACAAGGTGTCTAATTTCACACCTTAAGATTCAAGTAAATGCACAGGTGCTTATTTTAGTGTTGGATTTTACACAGGGAAACCTCTTTTAATGGTGTTTATCCTAAAAAAAATTATTTCAACTTAAAATACAGACAAAACAGTTTGTACGTTTGTCTTTCATCCACTTTTACTGTAGGTACAGCTTGCAGGGGCTTTTTAAGAAAATCTCTGGGAGTTCTGAGTTTTACCCTTAGCCTTTCTTTAATGGTAAACATCCAAAAGAGGCTCAGACTGAGGTGCTTTCAGTGTCATACAGCCATCCTGTCTGACATACCTAAAGCAACGTGAGTGTTTCTTCAGTGCAGAACAGGAAACCTTGAAACATTACAGTGCGATGACCAGCTCACATCTACACTATTATCAGAAAAATATTTTGTTGGTGAGGGACATGTTAACAAATAAAAAAAAAAACATTAAACGATATGAGTTTATATTAAATGGACTATGCAACATACAGAATTAACAGTTAGCACACATAAACCATATTTTCCCATCTGGTAGCAATTGCCCCACTTTGTACAGTCATCCTTTTTTCACTTCACATTCTTACTGAATTCAGTATGGGTTGCATTCATAATAAGGTAGTGTTTAGGAGCTGTTCCACAGAATTCTGCACAAATGCATAATTTTACCAGTTTTGATGTTGTGGCACAGCTAGAAAAATATGTTAACAGCAGTTGGACAATTAACATGTCCTTTTATTAACTGTAATTAGGCAAATATAACCTCACCATTTTTATAAAATATAAGCCTGATATTAGAATAGAGTCTAACCTGCAGTGTTGGCTTTTGAAGATTGGAGCTGGTAAACATTTTGGACATCTGTTGGAGGAAATTTTTAATAACAAGTCCACCTTTAACAGCACGCTGTTCTTAAAAGACTTTTAACAAACAATTACTATGCAATATCTTTCAATGAAGACATTATGTTTTACTGTTTATTTTCTTTGCACATATGCAATGCTTTAATGGTGTTACAGCTCTATCTTGATATTTTCGTTTTCTGAATATTTATCAATCTGCTCTAGAACTGCAGCTGCTGAAACTTTTAGCTTACAAACTTCATGTCACCCTTATAACACAAATCTCTACAAAACATCAGTCAGAGTTCAGTAACCTTTCAGATGTGCCCTGAATGATTGATTAAAAGTTCCTCTTCTTATAGGCGACACATGACAATGCAGTAAACTGTTTCAGGACCTAACAAATTCTCAAAGCAGTGAAAGACCAGGAGGTAGTAACAGACAGCATAAATTGTAAACCTTCATATCCATGCCATAAAATGCTTCATTATGAATCATTAACTCTAGTTTTATGTTTGCTGGGTTTTTTTTCAGGCCAACACCTAAAATCACGACTGCAAACTCTTGTATGTCAGCCCTGTTGATGTAATTTCCTAAGATCTGCCAGGCATAGCACAGCAATCTACCATCTCTTATGTCAAAGTTTGACCATAGCACCAAGTTTACTTAAGTCTGAAAGTGTGATTAATGACAAAATAAGAGTATCTTAATTTCCTCCTCGACATTTTTTGAAAAACAGAGGGAGAATTAATAATGTCCTACAGATTGGCTTCATGTTCATTTAACTCTTTAACAAACTGAGATGCTTGCAGCTTTAACCATGTATTCGAATCTGACATATACATAATCTGAGATAATAAAAATGAGCCAGAAGTTTTCTGTGTCTGCCATTCTGAAGCAATGCAGGATAGGAAATTTTAAAAATTTCACCTATCATTTAAATTGAGCCTTATGTAACATATAAACACTTTGAAAATCAGGTTCAAGAGAAAATCTTCCCTGCAACAAGATTAACTCAGATATGAAGTATATGAAAAATAGAGTACAAAAACTGAAGATGAAAGTGAGGAATTAAGCCGTGATTACCTTGAATGGTATTCTGACCACACCACTGTGTTTCTCACACCCCTAAAGCGTGTAAGCGTGTATGATGGTAAAGGGTGTTACTGCTGCGATAAACTGCACTGTTTGTGGCTCTGGGTGCACTGGGATCAGTTCTTCCCTGAATTAAATGTCCAGTAAGGACACCTAAACTGGCAACGGGCCCAGCAGTTGGAGAGGAAAATTAGGCTAATCTGTGCCAAAATTTTGTTGGCTCACTAGTTTAAGTTGCCATGCGAAATCTCAAAGTTAAAAAGCTAACTCTACATTTTAAAATTTAATATTAATATTAATACATTTTTAAGTTACACAGGATTTATAGAAGAAGAAAAAATTTAACCTTTTAGGGAATGGGGTCTGTTGGTTTGTTCTTTTGTCCCAAGCATTACTATGAGTACCGTAAATGAATGGATGTATTAAGATTTTATCAACATGTATTTACATTGGCAAATGTCTTTGTGTGTATTTCACATAAATTATTTTATTTATCTGTTAGAAAAGGGCTACTATTTTAGTTGAGCAGCAGTCTACCCACACCTGTAGCATTAAAAACTCTTGTTTATTTAGAGCCTTGGTTCTAATGCATTAAATATTTGACTTACACCTGATTTCTTTTTTTTTTATTACAGCTTGAGCCCCACTATCCATGAAATCCTTGGGTTTAGATATCCCTAACTACAAAATGTCATTAAGGTGTCATGATGAAAATAAAAATGTTTGATTCCTAATAACTTTAGACGTTTAGAGGTAGTTACTTCTAAAATCTGGGTCAGATTAGGTTTTCAGTTGAAGGTCTGCAGATCTAGGGCTTAGTTAAATTAACAACCAAAATGAATGCATGATTTCTAAAATTCTCTCTACTGAATCAAAACATCAATATATACTTTTTCTAAGATGCAAGATTGAAGTTTTGCACTAAGATCTAAGGAGATTGGAGATCATCAATTGATCAATTGGCATTTTAAAAGAACGTAAATGTAAACAGTTAAATCATCAGATGATGAAGAAACAATATCTACCTTTATCTACATTTAGTAATAAAAGCTAGTAGTATTCATGTAATTTTGTTTTTCAGTGCACCATAGGATAAAATTAATTTTTACATTGATTTTTATCTGTAAAGCAATGGTATAAAAAACTAAAAGCTTCCTTTCAACTGCATCTCTCCCTTATTTTGTTGCAGATAATTTTTTGTTCCATTTTTATTTCCAACATTATTTATTTTTTTCAGTGCATTTTTTTCCTAATGTTGTACATTTGGTTGGACTTGGATCTTTGTACTTTTCTTTTTCAGATGTTCTGTTGTATCTAAGACCTACAGCATGTCATGTTGCTTATCTATAATATAGATAAGCAACATGACATGACAATATTATTGTGCCAAGTGTTAGCTGTCGGACAGGTTGATATTTAACTCCAGAGCCCTTTCTTAAACAGGGGAATTCATGATCAAATCAATAATTGCAACCCAGCAACCAAAAAAGAGCAAATGATCAAACCTCAACCACCGTACCTTACAGCTAAAATAAGGTGTTTGTGCTGATATGTTTTGCTTTGTTTTCCCCAAACATGGTGGTGAACATTCAGGCCAAACATCACTACTCTGGTCTCATCTCTCCAAAGAAAACTGTTCCAGAAGTCTGGTGTTTTATTAAGGTATACCCTATAGGTTGCACTGCTATGGTGCCATATTTTAATAAAATAAATGTTTTTAACCTTTCAACCCAGATAAGCTACACTTGTTCAGTGTTTTTTTTTTTTTCTATTTGCCCTTTGATGTGATGTATCTTTAACATTTAATGTGCTAAATCAGGTCTGCAGGATCTGATATAAATGCTTCAGGCTGCTTAGTTGTTACCATGACTTAATTAAAGCTATAGACATATCTACATTGGTGTCACAATAGAAGTAACAACATCAAACTCAGCCCTTTCAAAAGCTACAGATCTCTGAGACACTCTCTAGGCTCTAACAGAATGAGTTAGTTATACACCCTGCGAATGTTCTTATTCTGAGGTAATTCATTAGCATAATCGTTTATCTTTGTGTTTCGGTTCATTTCTTTTGCAAATAAATTAGATAAACCATTTGGACCACCTGTCCTCATCAGCATGTTTTTTTACGGGAACCATGTTGTTCTGAGATGGGTTGCTCACCTTAAAAACTTATCCCAATTACTTTATCCATTCCAAATATTTTAAATTTCTTGTTGCTGCCTTCACTTGCTCTGTACCAATCGATTTCTGTTTATTTCTAAACTTATATTGGAATCTGCAAGTCAATGTACAGTGGCCAACATGTGCAAAAGTACACTAAATGATAAAAGCTCTGCAAATGCCAAGACAAACATATGAAGTTAATGTAATTAAGGGCAAGCCTGTCTTTTTAGGTGCATTTTTTTTTTTTTTTTTTTTTTACTTTGTGCAACATTTTCCTTTTGCTTCTATCTCTATTTTCTGTAAATGTAGCATTTTTTCAACATTTTTGTGTGTTTATAAGCCTGAATCATTCATATGCTTACAGTATGTTCAATCGTTTGCTGATGGTCTGCATTTCTCTGCCATTTTATCAATTGTTTACAGGCAAAATAGGGCAAACTCCCAGACTCTGTAAGGAATTTCAGAAAATCCAAAGAGGTGCCACAAGAAGATGAGCGCTTACTTACAACATTCATACTTCTTGGTTTTTAACGTCTTGTTTCAAAGTACAACCATAAACCTTAATATATTATTAAGATTTTATATGATCAACCAACTGAAAGCCTTTTTTTTGGTCTATGTTTGTTCTGTTATATTGTGCTACTTTGTGTTGGCCTATCTCATAAAATCACTATAAAAAACAAG